TACATGGCCTAGTTTTGCAGCAATGTCTTCAAGCTGAGATACTGACCTGCAAAAACTACAATCGTCTTCCTTTTGTCAGCTATGACTGCAATCAGTGCATAGTTTTCCCCATGGTTCCCACAGACTGCAGTTTTGCTAGGAATCTTTGATTCCAGGATGTGGGGATTTTTAAGGAGAGTATCAAGATACCCAAATTTGATTTACACAGAAATATTGAACATTTAGAGCTTGGTGAGCACTGAAATTTTAAAGAAAGTAAGAAAAATATCTTCAAATGAAGAATTGCTTGTCAGTAGTTCGTGTTCCGGAGTGGTGAATGAACCAGAGAATATCACATCGCTTTAAATGAATTGGATAAATGTTGGAAAAGGAAAAAATTACAAAGTCTTTAAAACATTGACCATTTCTAGCTGAAGAGCTGTCAGATACACATAAAATCATATCCTTTGTTTCATCCACTAAACAGGTTAGGTTGTTTATCCTTGACATTTTTGTCAAGTATAATCTATATCATTCGTGCTATGAATAGTTGAAGTGTGAGAACACGAAGTTAAGCATGATAGAGGGTCACGGAATGAATTCCCAAAATTGAAGTTTTATTACAATATTGCATCTTTATAGACACCTTCAAAATTATCACTGGGTTCAATTTGTTTTGTTTGCACTGGGAATCCAAAATCATGAGCCACAACTATGAGATTCTAACTGATCTTCACAGAGACATCAGTTAGAATGTAGAAATTGTTACCAAGTGATTTGGAAGATGGTAAATATTATTGATGCATCTCATGGAAGTTTGGTGACAGTGGGGTTAAAAGGAACAGAAAGTTATGTTGACAGGGCTCTAAGATTTTGGCTTTGAAAAGGCTTGGCTGGAATCTGAAAACCAGTAGTTGGCCTGAAAGACCTGTTTCAGTGTTTTAGATTCAGCACTTAACAATAGAAAGTATGTAACAAGGTGCCAAACAATGTATGTAACTTTATTTTAAGCACAACCCACCCTGCTTAACATTTTAAAACTTGCGAAGGGTCTAGGCCCGAAACGTCAGCCTCTCTGCTCCTATGATGCTGCTTGGCCTGCTGTGTTCATCCAGCCCTGCACCTTGGTGTCTCTAATTCATTGCCACACCTAGTTAGTGACAATTCAGAGATTGCAAGCAAAAAAAAATGGCATTTGAAAACACTCATCATGCCAGAAATATGCTTTGCAACATTTTGCAGATAAAAATAAGCTGAATGCAAGAAACAAAATTTTAGGGAGCACAGAAGATTGGAATGAAAGATCTTCAGCTGTCTTTTCAAAGCAGGAGAACCATACCAAAGACAAAACTATGGTGACTGAAAGAACAGGCACCAGAAATAAATGTAACAGGAGAAGAAGTGAGAAGTAGCCTGTTTTTTTTAAAAGGGAAATGGAGGCAGGCAGAGGCAAATAGATTTTAAGTTGGGTGAATATGTGAAGATTCTCAGTTGATAATTAAGATTCTCAAAATGGAATGATGCTTACATAATGAGCCCTTGGAGTTAACCAAATAAGGACATTTTTAAGTGGATTACAATTCTGACCTTGCCATTATGAACAAAGTTGGTGACTTAGAAGTTTTTTCACAGAAATAATTGTCAGTCAGTAAATGATTGCTGCAAAGTGTTCACTGAATCAGAGACTGCTGCATCACTAAAAGGGATTGCATGAGTGTGACTAAGCAGAATGTGGAGAAATAGATGAGGAATAAAATTCAAGTGTTCACATCCAGTTGAGTAACTGTCATTGGCACAGGTGTATTTGGATGTATGAACTTCTGTGCTTTAGTGAATGAAAATTCAGAGTATTTAGTGTTAACTGTGTGGAACATCGTACATTTCAATATAACTCAACAGAAGGGATAACAATTTGAAAAGGCAAGAATTTGAGCAATAAAAATAAAGGAACTCTTCCAGTGAGATAGCATAATTTTAAAGAGAGAGATAGAATTGACATTTCAGATCTGTGACCTTTTGTCTGAACTGGGAAAAGTTAAAGAGATGTATAATAGGTTTTTGAACAAAGCGTGGTCAGGACAAGGTAAAAAGGGGTGATTGTTTTGATAGAAAACAGAAGACAATTAAGAGAAAAGTTAGCCCTCAACAGGCAAAGAGAATAGAGATGCAGCAAGAAAAGAAACTAAGATGTGCTGAGAGGTGGTATGCATCTGGCTAATGGCAAAAGGACAAAATACATTGAAGAAAGGAAACAAACTGGGGAACAATGTTTATAGCTTGAAACTGTTCAACTGTTGATCCATAAGGCTGTCAAGTGCCTGACTGAAAGATAGATTGCTGTTTATGAGGCTTTTGTTCAGCCTCACTGGAGATGTCAGCATCAGAGTGAAGTGGAGAATTAGAATGATAGGCCACTGGAAGCGAATGTTCACAATTAGGAGTTGATCAGAGGTGCTGTACAATCTGGTCTTCCAGTCAATGTTTAATCTTCCCAATGTTGAAGAGATCATATTGTGATTACTGGACATGACATCGAAAGAACTGTGTGTAAATCTGTACCTGGAAGATATGTTGGGCCTGCACATGAGAGTGGAGGTACAGGGCAAGTGTTGTCTATCCTGTGGGTGCATGCAAATGTAAGAAAGAGACAATGTGTCAGAGATCACAAGAATAAAACAGTGTATTGCAGGAGAGATCCTTTTAAACTGCTGGCTGAGAAGACCATCAAACACACCTTCCCCTTCCTTTCCAGAATTCAGAGGGACTGTTTCCCCTGTGATACTCTGGTTCACACGCTGTCAGCACCAACATGCTGTTCGTTTACCTGAAGCAAAAACAAATTATGGAGAAATTTAACAGATCTGGCAGCATCTGTGAGGGGAAGAAAAGCAGAAGTAATGGGACTCAAAACATTTACTCTGCTTTCTTCCCACAGATGCTGCCAGATGTGGTGAGTTTCACCATCAGTTTCTGTTTTTGTTTCAGATCGCCAGTATGCATATCTATTTGTTTTATTTTTGTGTTCTTTTTCTTTGGCAGTTTTACATACATGCAGGAGATGTAACACTTGCCCTTTTATTTCCCCTCCCCTCAGCAACCAAGGTCACAAATACTTCTTCCTTCTTTTTGCTTTATTCATTAACAGGATGAGGGTGTTGCTGGCTAGGCAGCATTTATTGTCCATCCCTCACTGCCCAGAGCTGCTGTTGGTCTGGAGTCACTTGTAGCCCAGACCAGGTAAGGATGCCAGTTTCCTTTCCTAAAGGATCTTAGTTAATTGTATAGGTTTTTCTGTCAATCGGCAATGGATTCACGGTCATAATTAGATTCTTAATACCAGTTATTTTAATGAATTCAAATTCCACCATCTGCCATGGCTGGATTTGAATCCAGGTCCGCAAAACCTTATCTGGGTCTCTCGATTAACAGTATAGCAATAATACCACTAGGCCTTCGCCTCTCCCCAAGGTGAAGGTGCAATTTATTTGAACTTCTTGCAATCTATTGCACTATTTGCTGGTCAGTGTGGTCTCTTTTGTAGAGACAACAAGGTGTAGAGCTGGATGAACACAGCAGGCCAAGCAGCAGAGGAGCAGGAAAGCTGATGAAGGGCCATTTCTGAAGAAGGGTCCAGATCTGAAACGTCAGCTTTCTTGCTCCTCTGATGCTGCTTGGCCTGCTGTGTTCATCCAGCTCTACACCTTGTTGTCTCAGATTCTCCAGTATCGGCAGTTCCTACTATCTCTGGTCTCTTCTACAGTTTAGATTGGGTGACTGCAGAACACCCCTGTTCAGTTTTCAACAGTAACTCCAAGCTTCATGTGAATTCAATTGCCATCATGCTCTAACACTGACATCTTTGACCTTGGCTGACTACTCCTGTGAGGCTCAATGAAATCTTCAAACACAGTACCTCTTGTTTCCGCACTCAGTAGCCTTAGAAACACAAAACTGAGTTCAACCATTCCAGACTGTAAACTCTGCTGTATTTCATTACTTTCCTCTGCTTTCTTATTTTTCTTTTAGCCCACTGGCTTTTGATACATGTTTTGTTGTTTTACTTAAAGATTCAATTTGTTCTTGAAGAACGGAATTTTATCATTTAATCTCTCCCGTTTTCTGCTCTATAACAGCTTTCCCTCTATCCATGTACCACCCATCCTTTGCTTAAAACCTAATGCAATTCTAACTTTTTCCAGTTCTGACCAGAGATCACAGACACGGAACGTTAACAGTGTCTCTACATTGATGCTCCTTGATGCGATAGGTTTTCTTTCTCCAGCATCTTGTTGTTTCCATTTCAGATCTCAAGCATTACTAAAATAATTTTCGATCAGTATTTCGACAACGTTATTTTCGACGGGTCGCAGTTTCTAAATGCTTATGAAGCAGGAATGAGCAAAGTTGGAATCTAAGGTCAGGAAACCCTGTGTTCCAGTTCAGATAACGACGGGTTCAGATTAACATTGCTCCAAATGGCAGTGGGAGAGAATATAGGGAAGGAAACTTAGCTTGGGATTCCAGCAACTGCTATGGTTTTAGACCACCTGACTTAGTTCGACATGTCAAATTAATCACTCGAAGCTAACGCTGGATCCACCTCGAAAAAGTCGGTACCCTCACATTTGTCAACATTAATCTACACTCGAAGCACTTCTCGCTCTCCAACATGCTATTTCGGTCAACACCACTCCTCCGCAACTGAGAAGTCGTCTCTTTTCCACAAATTGCAAATTTCTGTTCCTCGCTCTCGAGAAGTGCTTTTTGAAGGCCTTGGGCATTTTTTTTTTCAGACAGACCGGTTTGTCTTCTACAGAAATCCCTTTGAAGGGCCGACACTGAAAGTAAAAACCTTGAATCTTTACCTCGTTCCGGGCAGGAACAGCAGGCGGAGCGGAGTTCAACTCGCGTGTTGAGGCGGAGGGGGGGGGGGTCGTCCAATCAACAAAGGGGTTATGGCGAGAAGGGGACCAATCAGCGATGAGTGGGCGTGGGAACGTGCCGGGCTGAAGCCAATCAGAGTGGAGCAAGTGCAGACGGGAGGGAGAGGCCGAGGATCAGCAGTTGACGTCGAGCGGGAGCGATGGAGGCTGTCGGTTTGGATTTGAGGTGAGAGCGCCTCGCAAATGAAACATCCCCACGAAGGTTACTTTCCGCAGCTAATTTATTTCGTTCCTATTCCCCCAACCAAACTAACACTTTATTTGTTCGTTTTGAGTTCCTTCATTGTGTCTGTTCATTTGCCGATTGGCGCTTCCGCCACTTGTTGAGTGAAATGGGGTTCGAGAGAACCTTCTGGAAGTGGGTGCTGCCGAAATTTTGGATCAGAGAGTGTGCTCGTACTCTTTTCCCCCTTTGAATAACCGACCGTGATTCTCACCGGTAGAAGCTGCTGAAGAAACTCTGCAGCTCTGGCAGCATCTGTGGAGGCAGAGCAGTTCACGTTTCGAGTCCATTATGACTTTTATTTAGTTTTTCTTAATGGTGCGCCTGGATCTTTTTCAGGAGATGCCGCGCAAACGGCATCGTTTTATCTTCAATTTATTTTCTTAGACTTTGTGCGTAGTTGTCTTCAGTAACTTGGTTTGGCACGTATTTTATCAGCTGCTAAGCGCTCTGGGGTGGCTTGAGGTTGGGCTTGGTTCAAAATCATGAGTTCCTGTTAGTGCAGAGGTGACTGATATGAGTGAATTTACTTTGGACTATGAACTGCCTTTCCTTTGCCTCAAAACCCTTGACTTTTGTCTGTCTCTTTGTGAGCAGAATTTTACCTAGCAGTAATATATCGAATGTGGTTGTTTATCTGCAGTTAAAATCTAATGATTTGTAATAAATGGTAACATTTTATGTCCAGAAATTGGGTCTGTATTTTCTATGAACTTGGATCCAAGAAGACTGGTGAATTGGGAAGCCATTGCATATTTGACCTTGAACTTCTGTGAAGACTCTGGGAATCCGAGCAGTTGATTGCCAGTATGTAACCCCAATAAGGCAGGACACTTGCTTGTTCTCACCATGGGTGCTGGCTTTCCACGTTTATTTCATTGAACAGTTGCTTTCATAATGGAGAGACCGTTGGTGATTTCAATTTATTTGACATTTTTCAAATCTGTTCTCTGTTGCTTGCCTGTAAATAGATGTAATGTTTTTAATGATTTCTTTGTAATATACCAATCTTCATGGAGGGGGAGAGAGAGAGAGGAGATTGCAGAAGTGATTCCAACTAGTTACAACCTCAAAGTTTGAGAAGATTTGTCAAGCCCAACTTTCCATTGTGATAATATTTTGGCATTAAGAGGTGTATTTTGTCTTTTTTTTTCACGAAGAGACAGGGGTATCGAATGCTCCATTGCCCTCTAATAAAGTATACACCTTGCGAGGCCTTGGAGTTTTTTTTAAAGTTGGAACAAAAGAAGCAGCATGAAGGGTACAGTCAAGCTCCCACAGAACTAGGATTTTAGTTTTAACATTCAGCAGTTGCAGCCGGATGTGTAAGCAGTTATTCCTATTTCTGTTACAGCTAAAAATTTGGGTTCTCTTCCTGTTGCTAGAATTGCATGTGAGACAATCTATTTGCCTTTGCCAAGGGTGTGTTTAGGGAATGTTACTCCATTGGAACAGCTGCTGCTTAGTAGTTAAATAATGTATTATTCTGTCAAGTTTCCTAATCGAGTTAATTTATTTCAGTTCTTCTTTGTTTTGTTTGTATTTTAACTACAGTGGAAATCAAGTGTGTTTTGCTTCAAGCCTGGTAGTTTGACCAATCGAATTGCATCTGGAACACAGCTCCTTCCACGTGTCTTTTGAAATGAAAAAGTTGGAATCTGGGCGATCTTAATATATCTTGAGGGGATTTTGTCTGGTCCATAACACCCTTCATAAATCCATGCTGACTCTGTCTGATCCTGTCTCTCTCTCTTCCATGTGTTCTGTTATTCCAACTTTTATAATGATCTTTATCATTTTCCCCGCTATCCATGTCAAGCTAAACGGTCCACAATTCACAGTTTTGTTTCTGCCACCCTTGTTAAATAGTGGATTTACATTCACTACCCTCCAATCTACAGGAACTCTTCGAGAGTGTTCAGAAGTTGAAACATGACTACCAGTGTGCCTACTATCATGTAATTGTTTCACATCAATCACCGAGACATCAGTAGTTTTCCGTAAAAGTTTTCGGTCTCTGTTGACTTTGTAACAAATGGTCTTGGTTTTCAGGCCCAACTCTAGCTAGATATTGCATAGTCCTTCAACCCTTTTTGAAAGAAAATTCTCCTTCGACTTCTATTTGGTGTTTGTCCTCAAAAAAAGTCATGACAAGCATTCTGACAATGATAATTCTTGTGTGTATACAGTTTAGTTGATTGTCAAATGGACAAGTAATAGAAATGGCCACTGTTCAAGCCTGCTGAAAGCAATCAAGGTGTACAGCTTGGCTAAGTCTGTTTCCACCTCTGCTGTCATAATCTTACATAATTGTTCATTCTCATTGTTCTACAATCTAACCAAGCAATACAAAAGCTTTGGTATGTATATGATTAAATATCAAGCAATTTTAGCTCTTTAGAACAAAACTTCACAGGCTTATAATTTTGGGTTCTCGTGGCCTGTGTTGCTGTTAAGAATTGCCAGTTGGAGTTTCGTCCAAGGAAATGTGTATGGCAGAATTTTATACTCAAAGTTGAGTTTGAAGCATGTGTGAATGAGGACACAAGAATCTTGTGGGGTTTTGTGAACAGATGCTACTTCATGGTTGTTCTCATTTATGTCATGTTTTTCACAATTTGTCCAACAACTAATTGTTTTCAAACTTAACATTTGAACAGATTCTGCACTCATCTTTTCAAAGTTAATTTTAAATTCAACTTGCAATTAAAAATCTTCCATACTTTTTAGATTTTAGCCTTGAATTGCAAGTGTTTCCTGACCTTAACTGGTGATTGAATTCATTTAATTTCAGTTTAGATTGACCATGACCACAGACTACATTGCGCATATAGTTGCCATGCTTTGAAATGCCAGATCATTTCTTTGGTACCGATCAACAGATGCACTGTTAAAAAGCAGAAATTTGGAGCCTTTCATCTGAATAATGCTGTTAGGTTTTGGATCCTTGATTAGTGCTGCCATTTTGCTGAGACTGTGTCCCTATCCTTGACAGAAAGCTTGGAGTTGAGTTCTTCTCATGCAAATTGGCTGCTGCAGTTATACATATGAAGTGGTCACACTTCAAAAAAATAAACTGAAGTGTAATCGATATCCGGTGTGAGATGATAGAAGTGGCCTTAAATCTGAAGTTCACATGCTTTAATTTAAATCTGTTCTTCCCTAAAGCAATGGCAGATTTGGAAGTACAGTCATTTGGAAGTACTAGCCTAGTCTAAGTCATTGGTGTAATCACTGTCAAGTTGGAAGAAGGTATCCCTATGATGGAATAATTTTAGAATTTGAAATTTATAATTTACAACTTGAGTACCTTGACATTCGGGTTGAATTGCTGTCTTAAGTTTCCCTACCTCCATTTGGTGTATATAAATGTGAAATTAAGTTACAAGTTAGAAGTTGGTGAATGCAAGAACCTGAGATTTTAAATGTCATTTCACCAACAGGAAAAAAAAATGTGCAATTCAAGATGCTAACTCTTATTTTTGTTTTTAAAAAACTTTTCTTGCAGCGTTCCTGAAATATTATTCACAAGTCAGTTGCAAGCCACAGTGTGAGTATAATATGAACTAATGTTGCCTGTTGTTGCAAATATGCTGTTTGTCTTTACTAACAGCACCTTTCATTTCATTTTTTGTTCTGGCAAAAGCACCAAATTCAAGTTGATGACTTCGAATCTCATTCTCAGATACTTTTCAGAAAATAAATTACATTCACTTCAAATTCCTCCCGAAACACATCAAAGTGAGATGTAACTCCTCTTCATAGTTGCAATGCAGTTTGTTAATCATAGCAAGTTGGCTGATTTTGTGGACAACAGTGGATGGGCAAAGTGCATTGAATTTTTTTTTTGTACATATAGGGACTGGACAATCTATTCTAACAATCTCACACCTGATTGATTGGTTTCTGGGTCTTGGTGTTATGATCCCAGCTGATAGTTTGAATGGGCCAGTCAGATTCCACAACAAAACCTGGCTTGGAATGTCATCTGTTCCATTATTTTGTTGAATGTGTTGATTCATCATATTCACCTGAGGCTCCAGATATTCTTCATTGGCAGGGCATAAGTTTGTTACACAAGAAAAAAAATAACCAAGCTGTACAGATACATGACAAATCATAAGATCTTAGCCCAAAGTTTCAACAGCGTGTCAAAGCCATCGTTTTGAAGTTGAGAGAAATTAAATCCATACTTCAGTCTTCAACTTTCGACTGTACTGACTCTTTGCAGTTTCTTTTTTGTTAACTGGTGCAGACAGCCTTTTTGGTTGCGCTGATTCAAATAATCTGAACCTTGAACAATTCTGATAGTCTGACTCAAAATATTCTTATTTGGATGTTTGACATGCTGGAAAAATACATTGTGCAGTAAATAGTTTCCTCTGAATCAAGTAAAAACTACTGAGAGAAACTGAAGCTGCTGTCTGAACTCAGCACTTCGTACTTGTCAAGGAAAAGCCTGGTGTTTTTTGAAGTGAAAGAAAAACAGATGGCTTAATGTGTTTACACTGCCTGTCATAAACTCACAAGTATCATTTTTTTTTTCCCCTTTAATACTCCAGGCATTCTTCCTGTCCCTTGATAGAGGAACATGTCTGCTTGGAACTGATGTGTTTGGATCAGTGTTCCAGAATGACTGTCTGACCCTGATATTTTAGAAAACAAACTTATCAGCTCTAACCCTTAGCATAATATTGTTTTTCTTTGAAAAGAAATCAGACTTCCAAAATGATAAATTTCACACAACTTTCATCACATTACATTGTTTCCCTTTCTTAGAAATTCTGGATTTTGGTATGCATAGTTTGTGGCTTGGTCTTCTGTTTATGTTTATCCATTATTTCCTGAATAACTTGTGGCGATTTGTTCATTTTGAGTGTCTTACCTACACGAAGGTCATGTTTCTGTCATTTTTCCACTGGAATCTAATTGACAGATGTTAAAAAAAAAATTTGTAGGTTTGTAATCTCTGATGTCAAATTAAAATAACATAAATTGTTTTTGTTTGTGGTACACAGGCCAACTTGTGATGGTATTGTCTTAGTTACCAATAGCATCAACAAGCTTTCTGGAGATCTAGAACAATTGAAAGTTCCACTCAACCACTACAAATCTGTAAGTACACCGGTAGTAGCATGTTCACTGCACATGTGAACTTGTTTTTGATAGGTACTTGACATCCAAAACAACAGTTTTACTGGTTTCAGTAAATCACCAAAATGTGCAATTTTAACTAAATGTTTGATTCAGATTCAAAGAAATAGAGACCAGATTTGTGCCATGCGCAAGAAAACTGAAATTATCTTCTTAACCAATGATTTAAAGCCAAGGAAGAAAAGCATTGCTAATTTATGAATTTGCAGTTTCAACTTCACTGATTTTTTTCAAGTCATACACAGACAAACACATACAAGGAGATTCTGACAAGTTATAAAAGTCATGGGTAGAAGGAGAAACAAGTCACGGAACTTGCTTCTTCATCAAAAATCCAGATCTCTCAACTGACTGTTTTGGTCTCCGAAACTTTTTTGTGTCTTCCATAGTAAAACGGTCTTGTCTGCAGAACAATCATCGGCCTTTAGCTTGCTGGTTGATTGGTTGAGCCCAGGTTGTTTCCTCTTATTTGGAGTTTGAAATTAATTCTTTCAGACCCTCTAAATGTAGTTATATTGCTGTTTTGACAGATTTTGATGAACGACGTTTCAGAGAAAGGGAGCGATGTGGTTTCAGCAAGGATCCAAACATTTCTCCTTGCTTCTGCTAACATTCTCCTGACATTGGCTGTGTTAACTGCAGCTGGATCCAGTTGGAGGCTTGTTACTATGCTGAGCTTTCCTGAAGCCAGACAACTCGGCACCTTAACAACTTGACGGTCTAACAGATGCATGATATGCATGAGTTTGCTTCACTTATTTTTCCCCGTTGCAAACGTCGCACTGGACATTTCCCTCGTGTAAATGCAGTGTCCATTTGCCTAACTTGGTCTCACCAAAGTGGAGAGGAAACTTTGTAGTAAGGTCTATCATGCTGTTAGCCTACCTTGCAGCTTGCCTTGTATTCCCCACCTGTGCCTGCTTTTGCTGCTTTACTTTATCAGAGGCTTAATTAATGCAAGTTAGTGGTTTTTAAATGAGTGATGATGAAATGTATGCCTTACAGATTGATGCTTCAGTCGAGCAAGAAGTGGTATTGGTCCATGCTCCGGATTTTCCAGGGGCAAGAGTGGTGAGTGATCTTCTCAGGTTGTAGCAGACCTTCTCACCTCACGGGAATTGCACAGCATTTTTTTCATAGGATCTGTTTGTGATGGCAAGACTAGGTTGCCCCTAATTGCTGTTAAGAAGGGAGTTCAAGGATTTTTATGCAATGATTAATGAAGGAGTAGCGATTCAGTTCCAAGACAGACAGTTTGTTGCTTGGGAGAGAACTTAAGGGGATGCTGGTGTTCCCTTGTACCTCCTGCCCTTGTCCTTTTGAGGTGGCCCAGTTTGCGCCTTTGGAAGGTGCTATCTGAGGAACCTGGGTAAGTTGTTGTAGTGCATCTTGTAGCTGATTCATGCTGCTGTTTCTGTGAGCTGGTCCTGGAGGATTGAAAGTGTATTAAAGGGTTCCAGTTGGCAGTGTTGCGCTTTGACTCTAAATTCTTTTTATTTTATTGTAAACTTGCTTGTCATAACATAGACTGAAAATGGCATGGTTCAATATCAGCTAAGAAGAATATCTTCCATCCCATTGCTTAAGAATAATCAGAATGGAGACTGAGCAATCTGTGTTCCTGTTGCCTGAAATAGGCAAGAATGTGGTCAATCTGGTGGAAGGTTAACAAGTTCAGGGAGTACACATTTCTTTTGTTAACAGAACATGTGACTATATTGGACACTGAATATGAAGGTAATTATGACAAAGGAAACTAATTGCAGTGTCTTTGTGAATGACACAATTTAAAACAAACCAGCCCAGACCTTTGAGTATAAGGGTTGAGATGTCTTACTGATTTTGTACAGGACGTTGGTGAGGTGTCTTATGGAGTACTGTGTCCAGTTCTGGTGTAGGGAGGATGTTAATAAACTGGGGACAGTTCAGAAGAGATTCACCAGGATGTTGCCAGGAATCGAGGCTTTGAGATGTAACAGTAGGAAAGGCTGGGACTTGTTTCATTGGATCATAGGAGGTTGCAAGGTGACCATCTTGAGGTTTATAAAATGACGATGGGCATAGAAAAGGTCTTTTGCCGAGGTTAGTTCCCATCCGAAGCCCCAGTACTTAGCCTTTTTTGGCGTGGTGCAGGGTCATACTGACATTGAATTTCCAAATAAGACCTTAGGTTCAGTGACATTATATTTTCACAGAAACTGTCTATCCGTTGCATTAGCATCTCAGAGTGTTGGAGCACGTTAAACAAATTTCTTGTTGACCTAAAAAATTAAAACGAACTGATTGTTGCTAATAAAGTTAACTTTAATAATTTACGTCATTCTAAACCCAGCTGGAACTTGATGTGGATTCACAGGTGAAGTCATCATAGCCAAATTGCCTTGTGACAATGCTTCAGCACTGACCCGATGGCACATTATTTGTTGGATTTTGCCAATCAGAAAATGATTAATTGGTGCCTTCTTTGTTTATGTTAGTGAGGCAAAGAATAAATACTGGAATGGGTAAGGTTTCTGGAGTAAAGAGCAAGGGACTGGGGTTAAATGTGTTAGTGTAATCAAGTGTAGGTATGATGGGCCGGATTCCTGCCTCTGCTGACTCGTTGCACGACTCTGCAAAAGCAAGTTCCCAGAAAAAATTTAGAACATGTCTGTCCAACTGGTGAGATAATTGGATAAATGTGTGTGTGTGGTTTTCTTTTTGCACAGATCTTTTCACCAACAGGGCCCCTCAACCGGGATTATGATGATGTTCGGAGATTCAGTGATGCGGCTGTCGTCGGTATCAAGCGGTACGTGATCCAGTGTTAGGTATACAGTCAATCTATATTTGCGTTTTTCCTTTTCATTTGAATCATAGAATCCCTACAGTGTGGAAACAGGCCCTTCAGCCCAACAAGTCCACACCGACTCTGAGAGCATCCCACCCAGACCCATCCCCCTATAACCCACCTAATCAACACATCCCTGAACACTATGGGCAATTTAACATAGCCAATCCTCCTAATCTGCACATCTTTGGACTGTGGGAGGAAACCGGAACACCTGGAGGAAACCCGCGCAGACACGGGGAGAATGTGCAAACTCCACACAGACAGTTCCCCGAAGGTGGAATCAAACCTGGGTCCCTGGTGCTGTGAGGCAGCAGTGCTAACCGCTGAGCCACCATGCCGCCATTTGCTTGAATGAATCTGAAATCATGAAACTGGTGTTAGCTTTTTACATCTTTGATGAGGGACAAAATAATTGTGCATAGTTCTATGAAACACAACTTGTCATAGAGATGTACAGCAGAGAGAAAGGCCTGTCAGCCCGTCACATCCATGCTGCCTAAAAACAATCACCAAATTGTTCTAATCCCAGTTTCCAGTTCTTGGCCCATAACCTTGCATGCTTTGGCATTACGAGTGTACATCTCAATACTTCTTCAGTGTTAAAACCGTTTCTGCTTCTCCCATCCTTAACAAACAGAGACTTCCAGATTCCCATCACCTCCTTGGTGAAAAGGTTTTGCCACATCCTGGCACAACATTATGTCGCTGGCCTTAAATCTATGCCCCTCGTGCCTGATACGTGCATCAAGGGGAGATGTTTATCTTGTCTGCCTTATCTGTGCTGCTTTTAATTTTATTCATTTCAATCAAGTCTTCTCTGAATCTCTTCTGCTTCAGCAAAATAACCCTAATCTGTCTAACCTGTTTGTTGCCTGGGCTGCAGAGTTTCAGTTACATTCTGGTCAATCTCCCCTGCTTCTTCTCCAGTGTAGTCAAGTCCCCTCTGCAATATAGATTGCAGAACCTCACGTGGTACTCTTGCGAAGCAATGTTCGAACATAACCACCCTACTGTAAAACTTTGCCTTGACTGGTAAAGGCAAGTAACCTATATGTCTTCTTCATACTTGGTCCACCTGATGTGCTCCTCAAGGGACTGGTGTACAAGAACGCCAGGATCTCTGTTATCCTCTGTTTCCCAGAACCCTATTGTTGATCATGTATTACTTTGCCATATTTATCCTGCCTAAGTCATGACATGACATTTATTCAGATAGAATTCCATTTGCCACTGATTAGCTCATCTGACCAGCCTGTCTACATCACCCTGTCAACTTTTCACGTTGACAGTTAAACTGCATGCAGGGTATGTTGGCCAGTCTGCTTTTCCAACTTGTTTTTAAATATATTTTACTCAGACTTTGCAAAATGCCAGATGTTGTTCTTGGTGCAGAGAGGTTTTAGCCCTGCATGCAGTCCATATACAATACTTGGACCATAAAACGGGAAGATGTGCTTAAAAAAAAATCTGCTATGTTGCAGCAAAGCTCATGGACTTTTTGTGTCTTCCCTAGTGCTTTGAAATCTGGCATGGTGAAGCCCCTCCTTGTTTGTCCCCCTGAAGAGCTTTTCAAAGAAGCTCCATTAGTGACTCTGCTTGGAGCTCTGCATGCCTTGTATGTGGTGAGTAGGATATTGCGTTAAGTGATACAAATGTTTGTACTTAAATTGGGAAGGGGGTTAGTTGGAGGATCTTTGTGCTTGCTGAGTGTGAATTTGGCCTAGTCGAGCAAGAACAAGACTTTGAGTCCAAATTGTCTGATTGGCAGTTCAGCTGTGTGATGTTTGCTGCATGATATCTACAGAAGTCATGAGCAGTAAACCACCTGCTTTGTCTGTTTAGGTTTGAGTAGGTAGGCCTCAGTTGACACATTGTGGAACAGACATTTGGGAGGCGGGTAGTTTAATACATTTTTAAATTCATTTTGTACGACGTGGGCATGGTTGGCTGGCCATCATTTATTGTCTGTCCATAGTTGCCCTTGAGATGGTAGGAGTGAGCTTCTCCTTGAACTGCTGTATTCCACCTGCTGTGGGTTGACACACGTACCGTTAAGAAGAGTATTCCAGGATTTTGCCCTAGTGACACTGATGGAACGGCCGATTATATTTCCAAAGTCGTGATCGTGACTGGCTTGAAGGGAAACTTCAAGTTGGTGGTGTTCCCCTGTATTTGCTGCTCTTGTCCTTCTAGATGGAAGCTGTCATGGGCTTGGAAGGTGCTGTTTGAGGATCTTGGGTGAATTGTGTCAGTGATAGGAGGCAATAGCCTAATGGTATTATCACTGAACTGTTAATCCAGAGACCCAGATAATCGTATGGGGAACTGGGGTTCGAATCCCACCACAGCAGATGGTGGGATTTGAAATCACTTCAAAAAAAACTGGAATTAAGGGCCTAATCCTGACCATGAATCCATTGACGACTGTTGGAAAAACCCTTCTGATTCACTGATGCCCTTTAGGAAAGGAAACTGCCATCCTTAGGTGGTCTGGCCCACAACTAATTCCAGACCCCCCTAGCCAATGTGGTTGACTGTTAACTGCTCTCTGGGCAATTAGGGATGGACACCAAATTCTGCCTAGACAGCGATGCCCTTATCCCATGAATGATAATGAAAAAAAATCCAGTGTCTCCAACTATTTCTTGAGTTTGCAGATTGTGCTCGAGTACAATTCTGCTGTTGATGGCCCCCAGCATTTCATAGGTACTCAGTCATGACTGTTTGTAGAGTGAGCCATTGAGCACAGTTTTATAGTGCCACACATACGATGGAGGGTATTTTCAATCCCGAGGCGGGACTTGGTCTCCACAAGGCTTCTGTGTTGGTCATTCTTACGGATACTGTCATGGACAAATGCATCTGAAGCTGGTAGATGAGGTCAACTATGTTCTTGCCTCTTTTGCCTCCCAGATGTGGGTGTGGAGTTGCATGTCAACCAGACCAGGTGAGGATGGCAGATTTCCTTGCCTGAAGGAAATTAGTGAACCAAGTGGATTTTTCTGATAACTGACAAAGGGTTCATGGTCATCAGTAGATCAGATTCGAACCCCAGTCTCCAGAACATAGACGGAGTCTCTGGATTCATTGCCTAGCGATAATACCTCTCGTCCATCACCTCCACGATACAAGGTCTGTCATGGCTGTCAGGAAGTTTTTTAACTTAAGATGACTGAAGTGTTCTCGCTAAGCTGATGAAATATTGCATTATTAGTCTTAAAACAAAATTGTCTCGGAGAGAGTGTTGACAAAAGAGTTGGTAAACCTATTCCAGTGTTCATTGTATTGCAGCCATTGGAGGTTCGTGAGACGTGCCCAGCAAAGGCAGCTAAAGTAGATTATCTGGGAGTATGGGCCTCAAGTCAGGATGAAGGGAAGAAGCTTGTACTACTGGCATCAGCATTGGAGAGCGGCAGGTAAGGATTCCCCAAGGGTCATGCAGGTTTAAAAAGCCAGGTCTTGACACTGGGGTAAAATTAATGTACTGATTAACCAACTCAATACTTGTTATTTGGGTCTGTAATAATACATTGCATACATGTCGCAATCGCATGTTGACTAATTTGGGCTGTTGGCCTAGGTTTTATTTTGTCTGTCTTGCAGCATACTTTTCCATATCTATTCTGCTCATTAATGCTGCATCTGCAGTTTGTGTGTTCATTTGCCCTTCAGTATTCTTGTATTTTCCAGGTCCAAAGTTCATTTGCTGTTGTTAACACATACCATAAATAGGAGCAGGAAGATTATGTTTGCTCAGTCACTTGACTGCTGTTGACTGTATAAACTCTGTTTGATGGTCACTAAGTATTGCTGGACAGAGAGCCAGAGGTACCAGTGAAAAGCTCTCTCAATTTGAAATTAGTCAGTGGATTAGTGGATACAGTCAAAGCAGAATATCAAAACCACAGACAACTAATGTCATAATGTGCTGTAGAATTGCAGCATTTCAAGTAAACTTTAAGGCCTGTACCCTTAGACTAGTATACAACTAAATGACTCAAAACTGATATTACCTCTTCTGAAGTCACTGGCCAGGCCACTTCGATGTAAGGGTTGTTATTTTGCTTGTAGCTTGGGGTTAGTTTGCAGTTATCACTGACAATCCATTGGAGCAGCACTTCTTTTATACACTTTTGCTTAGGCTTGAAGATGGCTTGAGTCAACTGCAAGCTGCTGACCATTGGCCACAGATGCGGTAGTCACTAGCCACTTTCTATTAAGACATGATCTTGGCTTCCAATTTTCTCTTCCTTTGTTAGTTGTCACATGTGATCTCATCTTGTGATGATCTCTTCTTTTGTTAGTTGCTTATTCTTTTATCAGCCTGACTTGGCCAGTCGGTGGTCAGAACTGCTTACTTCTGTACCCCTGTGAGGCATATCCACACATGCCTTGAGGCTGGCATACAACCTTGATCATTTTTCTCATCGTGCTCTAAATTAGCTTTTCAGCTGTACTGCTGTCAAATAATTTCATTTATCTGACTTAATATTTTCCCTTTTGTCTCTACAGAACTGTATGCAGGGATATTGGTGGATCTGACCCAGAGAGAATGGCTGCTCCAAAAGTAGCTAACTACGTTCAGAGTCTTTTTAGTAATTCTGTTGTGTCTGTAAGTTGGCTATTTGCTGGACTTGTTTTTCTTCTTTTTGTGTAACAATTGAAAATTGTACCCTTCTTTTCTTACATCGGGTGCACTTCTGTTTTGAAATGAATGGCAAGTTTAGAATGATCAAGAACAGATGGCAACCCCAACCTTTCATACCATCATCTTCAGATCAACCCCTTTAAATTGCTGTCCAAATAGTACTAACCTGAAGTCTTCAACTTCTGTCATTTTGAATATTGATTTTTTTGAATATTGAGTATTTCTCCTCTGACAGTAGGAATTGGATTTGCTTGTACCCTGTTTTCAGGCCATGAATTATAAATTGTAAGGGTGTATTCAACAGAGTGCGCCACCAAGGAGTCCCAGCAAACCTGGAAGCAGTGCACATCAGGGGGCAAAGTCTCCGGTGTTTGGAGTCGTTGCTGTCACATAGGAAGATGGTTATGGTTGTTGGAGATCAGTCATCTCAGCTCCAGGACACCCCTGCATCTCCTCAGAGTAGAGTCCTAGGTCCAATCATTTTCAGCTGCTTCATCCATGACCTTCCCTCCATCATAAGGACAGAAATGGGGCAGTTCGCTGATGATTGCACAATGTTCAGCACCATTTGCGACGACTCAGTTACTGAAGAAGTCCACGTTCAGATGCGACAAGATCTGGATGCTATCCAGGCTTGGGCTGATAGGTGGCAAGTAACATTCGCGCCCCACAAATGCCAGGCTACGTCAACCATTGACAAGGCACAAGTCAGGAGTGTGATGGAATACTCCCCACTTGCCTGGGATGAGTGCAGCCCCAACAACACTCAAGAAGCTTGACACCATCCAGATCAAAGCAGCCCGCTTGATTGGCACTACATCCACAAGCATCCACTCCCTCCACCACTGATGCTCACTAGCAGCAGTGTGTACTCTCTACAAGATGTACTGCAGAAATTCACCAAAGATCCTCCGACAGCACCTTCCAAACCCACAGCCACTTCCATCTGGAAGGGCAAGGGCATCAGACATATGGGAACACCACCACCTTCAAGTTCCCCTCCAAGCTGCTCAGCTTCCTGACTTGGAAATGTATTGTTGTTTTCTCACTGTTGCTGGGTCAAAATTGTAGAAATCCCTCTCTAACAGCATTGTGGGTAAACCCACAGCTGAAGGACTGCAGCAGTTCAACACGGCAGCTTACCACCACTTTGCCCATCCCTAGTTGCCCTTGACAATAAATGCTGACCAGCCAGCAACACCCACACCCCACAAAAAGTTGATGGATGGATTTAATTGATTGTTACATCGTTACCTGTTATTTTGGCAAAAACCTGGATGATATTTATTTGCTTTGACAACAATATCCATGTCAGATCAGGGCCCACGTTTGTTCCCAACTTAAATTGCTCTAAGAAAATTGAGGTGAACTGGTGCAGTTCCTCTATAGTGATTTAAGAAAGGAATTCCAGGATATTGATCCAGCAACAGTGAGTGAACCATTGTATTCTTCCAAATCAGGATATGAATTTGGAGTGAAGTATGCAGGTTGGGGTGTTCACTGTTGGCACAAGCCTTACAGCTGATAGAAATCTCAAATTTGGAAGGTGTTTTTGAAGAAATCATAGTGAAATGCATTGCATCTCGTGGAGCATATACACTGCTTTTACAGTCAGCAATGAGGGAATTAAATATTGAAGGTGATGGAACTGGGCTGCTTTGTTGTGAATGGTGCCTGTTTTTTTTTTTGCTTCGTTGAAGCTACAGTGTTCATTTTAGGAGGTTCACAGTTATCCAGCATAGGCAGCTGATGCTTTGTTGCAGTTTTGTAATAGTTTGAGAAGCAGCAGTTTAGAAGTGGCGCATTAGTTAATACGGCAAAGAAAGGAAATATCTGACCTGTGCCCGATGAGAATGCTTTCTCGATACTGCAGCCCTTCTGTAAAATGGAGGTGTAGAGGCAGTTTCCTCACCTGCTTCCCTCCTTATTCTGTGATACATCCCATCAGTCCCTGGCAACTTAGGTACCTTAATGTTTTTGAAGACACCCAACACCACCTCATTCTTAATATTGAGATGCCATCGAATATCAACATACCCCTCCCTAATCTTTTGTCTCCTTTGTCCTTGAGTGGATTGACCTTCTGCCTGGCTATCCTCTTGTTCCAAAGATTGCACAGGACGCTTCATAGCCCCTTTTCACTGCAGTTATCTTGGTTTGTGCAAATCATAAGAGGTGGTAACTTTGACGTTACTGTTTTTTTCAAACAGCACAATAGATGAGTTGTATACTCATCTGCTTATGAACACTCAGTTCTTGATCTGCTTTGACGTTTTATTGATTTTTTTTAAGCTTTTGGTAGCTAACTCTGCACTTTCACTATTTAAATATTTTACATGCAACAGATTTAATAGAAAATTAGTGTAAACAGTGGGAATGCTTCAAGATTAAGTTATATGATGCAGTGGGTTTCTCCCTGCTGCAGAGCCTATCACTAGGACTTGCTGGTCCAAGGAACGTGAGTTCTCATTACAGCCAAATGGATTGACTATCACTATAATTGTGGTGTTAATGTCGCGGAACTAGCAATGTAGAAGCCCAGACTAATGTTTTGGATTTGGGTTTAAATTGAAGTATGAAGTTGAAACCTAAAGAAATCTGGGATTTGGCGAAACGTGTGATGCCAAATATGTAATCAATTCAGATTTTTGTGAAAGCTCATCTGCGTGTCCCATTCCTTTTTTTTTAAGGGAAGGAAATCTCCCATTGTTACCTGAACTTGCCCATGTATGATTCCAGGCCCGCAGCAATGTGGTTGACTCTGAACAGGACAGTTAGGAATGGGCAATAAATGCTGGACAAACCAGTGATGCTCAAGCAAATCAATAAAAAAGATAGTAGGCTTGGTTCCTGAGCAGCCATGTAATGGAAAGAAATTGCAGCCTTAGTCATTGATGCTAAATTTGCAGATGAGAAGGGGTACATAGCTGGTATCCTGCCATAGCATTCCCAACTGCATGTTGTTAGTTGACTGCACTTGGTGTATGGATCAGATTGGTGGCACCTGTCTAGAATTTGGTCCTGTGCATGCTGAGGTGCATTTGGCAGTTCCCTCCATGCCTGCCTGTGAAGGCCATGTTGGTGTGGGTGAGATCTGCATTGGGTCAAGAACCATTTTGCAAGCCATTTTCAGGAAGTCCGGGAGAAATGTTAAGAACCCTGACGTGAAAAGCAGAATTTTATATTGGAATTATTTTGAATTTGTCAAAGCCAATACCCAATTGAAAAATCGATTCTTCATATCACTTACCAGGTTTTGGTGACGAGTGATTCTGCGATTCTGAAGGAGCAGTACCCATGCTTGGCAGCAGTCAACCGCTGTGCCAAAGGTAAGTTGGTGTTCCACTCTGTATCTGCTCACTTGTTGTCACACTGAGTTTCTTTGGTATCCAAAGATAATTGATCTCAATATGTTTCAAATATTTGATTTCGGGAACATAACCTGTATTGAGTCCATTCACTCACTTGTGAGGCAGGGTGAGGATGGTGGTTTGTTTTAAGCCCATGGTGGATGGCGGGGGGCGTTGTCCCTTGTTCGAGAATTGGACGAGCAATGGTGGGATATACTCCTCTGTGCAGGAGGCCCGATTGGGACAAGGTATGGCACCCTCTGCATGCGTCGTTCGAGGGGTAAGTGCCCTTGCCGGAGTGAGAGGCCCATTGAGGGTTGTTGGGAGGTTGCACCTTGCAATCCTTGCGCCTGTAAGGATGGAGGTTTGGAGATGCCCTCTTGCGCACAAGGGCTGTGCGCGCTCACTCGGGAGCCAAGATGGGGGTGGTGACTTCCTCAAGGGCCCAGGTGGAGGCTGTGTTCACTTCGAATAGGGTGGCTCCCTTGGTTGGGAGTTGGTGGTGGGCAGTGGGGGTGAGTCTTTTGATTCTTAGCCCTTGATACCCTGCACAAAGGACAGTTTTCCCTCTGACTGTGTCTGCCACTACAAGCCTCCACCCCCAACTTGCTGAGAGTTCAATTCACAGATTAAATGTTTGTCCTATGATTTCTCCCTTTTAATTCCCACAGATGTGGAGCGGCATCAAGCGCGGGTTATTGAATTGCATTACAGAGGAGAGGGTGCCATTGACAAAACACTCATGCTTGTTGGCAAGGTAAATGCCTCATTACAAAGCTGTTAACTGTTTTACCTTATCCTTAATGTATTGTTGTTATAGGTGTGCACAGCATGTGTCAGAAAGTTCATAATAGATTGCGAAACCTGATCTTTGTATGGCTATTAGCTGCTTGTAGCTGTACATGAATTACCGAAAGGACCACAGATGCTGTAAATCAGCAACAAAAACAAAGTTGCTGGAAAAGCTCAGCAGGTCTGGCAGCATCTGTGGAGGTGAAAAACAGAGTTAACATTTCGGGTCCGGTAACCCTTCCTCAGAACTGACGGTGGCTGGGAAACCTTCAATTTATATGCAGAGAAAAGGGAGGGAGTAAGCGATAGGATAGAGCCTAAAGAGAGCGAAGAGCGGTTGGACAGACAGAGTTGTTAAGGATCCGGATGGGAGGGTGAATAGTTGTTAATGGGGCCTACTAGTGACTAACAACAAGTAGTGTGTAATGGCAGGCAATGTGGTAACAAGGCCTGGTGTGTGGGGTAGGGGGCTGGGACATGGGAGAGTTAAGGCCCTAAAATTATTGAACTTGATATTGAGTCTGGAGGGCTGCATGGTCCCCAAGCTGAAAATGAGGTGGTGTTCTTCCAGCTTGGGTGGAGCTTCGCTAGAACACTACAGCAAGCCAGAGACAGAGATGTTGGCCAGGGAACAGGGTGGTGCGTTAAAGTGGCAGGCAATAGGTAGTTCAGGATCTTTTCTGTGAAGCGGTCACCCAGTCTACGCTTCATTTTCCCAATATAAAGGAGACCACATTGTGAGCAGCGAATGCAGCAGACTCGATTCTGTGAAGTGCAGGTGAAGTGTTGCTTCATCTGGAAGGTATGTTTGGGCCCTTGGATACTGGGAAGGGAGGAGGTAAATGGGCAGGTGTTGCACCTTCACTGGTCACAGGGGAAGGTGCCGTAGGGCTGTTGGGGGTGAAGCAAATGTGGACCAGGGTGTCCCGGTGGAAGGCAGACAAGGGAGGGGAGGGGAATATGTGTCTGGAGGTGGCGGAAATGGCATCTGATGATCTTCTGGATGTGGATGCTGGTGGGATGATCGGTAAATTATGTAAATTACGTTTTGTATTCACTGAACCTGTTTTTATGTCAAAGCAAGAAAGGCAGTACAGCGTTCAGGTGATAAATTCCAAGTCTTGGTAAACACACAGTACATGGAGTTTGGCTGGTTAGGGATAGTTTGGGAACAATTTCTAACTTATGAATTTAGTTACTTGAATTATCATATGAATAATTTTGAGCACTGTGGAGTTTTGTTGAGTTATTAATGTCTTGCATGGATGTGCAGGTTGTGCCAAGCTAGCACAAACGCTTGCATAATTTAAAAGCCACTTGCATTGATGAGATAAAAGAGCTGATGGCATTACCAAATCAGGCAACTTTGTTTGCAATGATTGATCGCTAAACTTGTAGCATTATTTTGACCAATGCACCTCTTGGGTAAGTAACAGTCAAAATAACAGTTGTGACATCATCTTTTCCCATAGGGAGTAACTTACGATACGGGTGGTGCAGACATAAAAGCTGGAGGTGTAATGGCAGGAATGCACAGGGACAAATGTGGAGCTGCAGCGGTCGCAGGCTTGTTCCAGGTATTTACTCCAGTTCCGTTTTCAAATTCAGATTAACTTTGCTTACTTGTATTAAAAATTATGATAAACTTGCCTCCGCCTTGTTTATTGACTTTTTGCTGTTTGGTGTGAATTCTGTGTGACAGCAGGATCCTGGTTGTATTTGTTTCTTCCAGAGAAGGGCTGATGTCTAGTTGTGTACTATTATGGCCAACAAACTGAATCTGATAAATTCTGGGAATCAGAACAAAGCATGCTAACATGATGAGTTCTGGGTCCTTGTGGCTGTCAATCTTTTCATTTGCTTCAAATCTGTATTGCAAGCAATGCAACCTTAATTTGGGTTCACTCAATCAAGTATCTTAAAATGATGGCTGCTACTTCGTGTGCACTGTTATTACAACAACAATCATGTGCCTGTTCTCAAGCACCCTTGCATCCGTTTTGCAAAATCAGTAACCTGTCTGAATCTTTTTTTCTGAATTCAATGAGGCTTCTTTGGACCCTTTTTTAAGATTGCATTTGGACAGAGTTTGACCATCCATTCTTCTGAAGGCACTATGTGATGTTTTATTGTGCCCAGATCTTGCATAACTACATGATGAATTCAGGTGATATTGTTTTATTGAATTCTGTTATTTTGTACAGGTGTTATCCATTCTGAAACCAAAAGGAATCCAAGTAGTGGGAGCAATGGCAATGGTTAGGAACAGTGTTGGTTCAGGTAATGTGAATCTGAAAAGCATGACACCCATAAACTGATCATGTCAGCTCCATTTGTTCAATCCTGCTGCTATTTGTCCGGATATGGAAGAGTGAGGGAGTATATTTTTGTAACCAGGAATTACTTTACTTGTGATGCATCTGTTGCTTTTGGATCATCACGGAAGGACGAAGAACGTAGTGATTGCAGTGAAAGCAACTCTAAAAGTTTGAAAGATGGTGCTCTGATTTTAGTTAGAATCTCAGATAAATAACCGCTAAATGGAAGGCAGAAAAATGATAAGGTAATGCCATCTGTTTTTGGTTTACTACTTGCTTGTTGAGGCCACTGACCATTTTCCTTTTGATATTGGGGTTCATTTTAACTGATCTGGAGCCAATGGCTGGTCACAGGGACTTGAAACTAGTAAAGGAAAAGGGCTCAAGTGAAGTCACTACAGTTTAAAAATCAAGTAACAGGACTCAGAATAAAGAAACAATTAGGAATCCTCCTCCTTCAGGTATTGCAGATGAAGGCACAATTACCAGAAGCGTATTCTTTAAACCACAAGAGAGAAACAATAAACAGGTGAATAAAGCATCAGTGCTGAGTGATAGGTTACAGTATATGGCCCAAATAACAGCTTGAGAAAACACCCTTCGGTCCAACCCAGTCCATGCTGATCGTAATCGCAAACTAAACTAGTCCCACCTTCGTGTGCTTGGCTCCTATTCCTCCAAACATTTCTTTAGTCAGGTATTTATCCAAATGTCTTTAAAACATTGTAACTGTACCCGCATCCACCACTTTCTGTGAAAGTTGATTCCACACAGGAACCATCCTCTGTGTTTAAAAAAAAAACCATTGCCCTTCATGTCTTTCTTAAATCTTTCTCCTCTCACCTTAAAAATATGCCCCACCTTGGAAAAAGACACCCACCATTCGCCTTATTTGTACCCTTGGTCATACTTTGGATTTTATAAATCTGTATAAAGTCACCCCTCCACTTCCTATGCTGCAGTGGAAAAATCCCAGCCTAACCAGTCTCTCCTGACAACATGCTGGTAAATTTCTTCTGAACCCTCTCCAGCTTAATAAAATGCTTCTTAGAACTGGGTGACCAGAACTGGACACAGTAAATTAAAAGGCCTCACCAATGTTCTGTATAACGACAACATTTGTGTCCCAACTCTGAATACTCCCAGGTCTGAGCAATGAAGGCAAGCATGCTAAATGCCTTGTTAACCACCTTGTCTATATGTGATGCAATCTTAAAGAATTATGCAACTGAACCCCTAGGTCTTTCAGTTCTCTAACACTACCCACTGCCCTACTTTTAATTATATAAATCCTGCCCTTGTTCGTTTTACCAAATTGCAAAACGTCACATATATCCAAATTAAACTCTCTCATTATTCAGCTCATTCACCCAATCAATGAAGATCTCTTTAATTTTAGATAATCTTAATTGCCCACTCTACCACTTATTTTGGTGTCATCCGCAAACACATTGATCATGCCTCCTATATTCTCATCTACATCATTTGTATAAATTACCAACAAAAATGGACCCAGCACTGATGCCTGTGGAAGACCACTGGTCACACGCCTCCAGTCTGAAAATCAACTGTTCACCACCACTCTCTGTCTCCTCCTGTTGAGCCAATTTTGTATCTCGTCGGCCAGCTCACCCTTCATCTCATGTGATCTGGCTTAACTAATTAATCTACCATGAGGAACCTTGCCAAAAGCTTTAATAAAGACCAAGTAAACAATTTCTACTGCTCTGCTCTCATCAATCTTTTTGGTTACTTCGACAAAAAACTCACTCATGTTTTTGAGACAGGATTTCCCCCGCACAAAACCATGCTGAGTATCACTAATTTTTCCTTTCCTGTCCAAATGCATATAAATCCTATCTTTCAGAATCACTGTGAAGAACTTAGCCACTACCGAAGTCAGACTGTCAGATCCATAGTTCCCAGGCGACTTCTTCATTCCCTTTTTTAAACAAAGGCCACTCTGCAGTCATCTGGTGTCACCTGTAGCTATAGATGATCCAAATATTTTTGTAAGGCGCCCTGCAATTTCCTCCCTAACTTGTCACAACATCCTAGAATACACCAGATCAGGTCCCGGAGATGTACCTACCTTTGTTTTCTAAGACCTCCACCGCTTCCTCTTCTGTAATGTGAACTGTTGGCAAAACATGAGTATTTATTTCCCTAAGTAATCTAGCCTGCATTTCTTTTGCCATAGTAAAAAAACTGAGGTGAAATATTCATTTAATATCTCTACCAGCTTCTGCGCTCCCAAAGCTTGTGATTTCAAATAGTCATGTTGGACGCAGCCTCTGCATCAGGTGAGATAACCTGGTGTCATGTGACATCGGTTGATGAGATGAGGCAGAGACTGTGTGCAAAGTAAACTCAGAAAATTGACAGGTTGATTCAAGGAATTGAAGAACAGTGGAGGAACCATTTAACAGCAATGCAGAACCAATTTATACTCCTGAAAGCGAAAAGCTCCTGTTCACAGAAAAAACAGCAATGGACAAAGAAATAAGTGACAGCATAAATGAAAAAAAATATGCACTTTTTAGTGCTTTCAAAAAAATGAGTTGGTTGGGAAAGTTGCAAAGACCAGCAAATGAGCAAAATGCATCAACTTACAGCTACAAAAAGGAATTACAAAAAGAAACTTGCCAGAAGCATCATAAAATGAAGTAATTTTACAACTATGTACTCGGAAAGCATGTGTTCAGGAGCAAGATCAGCACACAATTGGGAAATTTGGAAACAGTGACTATGAAGAATGACAGGTGTGTTGAACAATTACTTTGCCTCAGGCTTTGCTGCACATGGTTAATTTCTGTATTTATACAGGTTTCTATACAACATCGACGACAGTTTTATATCATTTATTATTCCTCAGTTTCACCTATTCAGTTCTCCACTGAATGCTTTCCTCTCCGTATATGCTCCCTCACTATTCAAGGAATCTTTTCTCTGATGACTAAGTCTACACTACCTCACTGCTACTTTACCCATCCATCTTGTAAATTTTGCAGGAGGTCAGCTTGCTGCAAGTACCAAGTAAATTAATAATGGGTTGCGAACGGGAAACTGAGAAAAATTAACACAGGTAAAAAGTCAGTAAAGAGGAAAATAATGGAATTCAAGACTGATAAACCCCTGGGACCTCAGTTTCTATCTGAGAGTGTTGACAGAAGTAGGGGAAGACATTATAGAGGTCTTAACTGTAATCCTTTAGAGTTCCCTGCAAGACTCGTCCCTCTGTATTGGGAAATTGCACATGTCCCTCTGCTTTTTAAGAAAGGCAAAAGAGGAAAACCAGGGAATTGCAGATTAGTTAGCCTACCATTTGTGACGAATATATTCTACAATCAAGAATGGGTAACTGAACGCCTTGAAATGTTACAAATCATCAGGGAGACCCAGCTTGGATTCATAACAGGCAGGTCAAACCTGAAAAACCTCACTGAATTTTTTCAAGAGGTCTTTAAGGTCATGGATAAGAGAATATCAGTGGCTGTTGTTTAGAATCATAGAATCCCTACAGTGTGGAAACAGGCCCTTCGGCCCAATAGGTCCACACCAACCTTCAGAGCATCCCCACCAGACCCATCCCTCTGTAACCCACCTAATCTACACATCGCTGAACACTACGGGCAATTGAGCATGGCCAATCCACCTAGCCTGCACATCCTTGGACTGTAGGAGGAAACCGAAGCATCTGGAGGAAACCCACACAGACAGTCACCCGCGGATGGAATTGAACCCGGCTCCCTGGCACTGTGAGGCAGCAGTGCTAACCACTGAGCCACCGTGCCGCCCTTTTATGCGGACTTGCAGAATGTATTTCATGAAATTCCACAGAAGAGACTTCTGATGAAGGCAGAAGCCAAAGAATTGGGGGGCAAATTATTTAAAAGGCTGGGAAATGGGTTGAGTGACAGGCAACAACGTAGGGCTAATGGCTGAGTTCTCAAATGGTCAAGGTATGATCAGTGGTGTCCCACAAGGAGCTGTGTTAGGGCCTCAGTTACTGATCATTTGTTCATGACTTGGGTGATGGCATACAAAATCATTAAATCCAAATGTGCTGATGACACAAAGTGAGGTAGCCTTGAATACTGTGCAGATGATAGACTATCAATGTCCTTTTGTCATTTTATGCTAAGTGAACAGGCAAAACTATAGCCGATGGATTATAGCATAAGCAATAGTGAGGTTACCCATTTTGAAGTGAGTGCTTGTCCAAAGATACCTGGGGTTCACCAACAGGTAGGGAAAATAATGAAGGCAGCTAATGAACTGCTGGCCTTGATATGAAAAGGACGATAATAGAAGGCTGCAGTTCTACAAAACCCCGGTTAGATCTCATTTGAAATACTGTGAGCAGATCTGGGTACCAAGCCTTAGGAAGGATATTGGCTTGGACAGAGTGCAACGTAGGTTTACAAAGCTGATAACCCCTGAAGCCAGGGTAAGGTATGAGGAGAAATTATACAAATTAGGCCTGTTTTCTCAATAATTAGAGTGTAAAGGATGTTCCAGTGTAACTCTTTAAGAGAAGAACAGGAAAAGACAGGGTACATAAAGAAACTATATTTCTACTGGCTGGCAGTTCTAGCGCAGAGGAAGGGCATAGGATGAGAATTAGGGCCAGACCCTTCAGGAAAGATTTTAGGAGGCTCTTCTACAGACAGGGTGGTAGATGTTCAGAACTCTCTTCCACATATGGCAGAGGATGCAGAAACGGTTGTTTATTGTAAATCTAAGATAGATTACATGTTTGTTGAGCACTGGTGTTAACGGATGTGGGCCAAAGGCAGATATGTGGAGTTAGGACACAGATCAGCCATGATCTCATGGAATGGTGGAACAGGCTTGAGGCGCTGAATGGCCTACTTCTGTTCTTGTGTTCCCATACAGAGTAAGATTGCTTACTTGTAATGATCTGAAACATGGTTGGGGCTCGTTTCCTAATTGTTTAATTGCTTGGTGTGGGTTCTGCGTCCCAACATGGTGCTGACTGTGTCATTCTTCGAGAGAGAAGTGAAACATTACATTTCAGTCTTAAATAAGAACTGGCTGTGGCTGCCTGAATGTTGAGTTTGCTATTTTTGTCCTCTAGATTGTTACGTTGCAGATGAGCTTATCATGTCCCGTGCCAAGAGAAGAATTCGGGTGGGAAATACAGATGCAGAAGGGCGGATGGCGATGGTGGATCTGCTGTGCAAAATGAAAGAAATGGTTTGTATATACTGTCTGACGACTTGGCAAGGTTTAATGTTTCCAGGTTGCAAAGCACTTGCGTAGCAGTTGGCTACTGTACAACACCTTTTGAAATACTTGTTGAGAGAAGTGGAGGATAATTTTTTTAACCTTCCACAAAAACCAAGACTTGTTCTCCCAGTTTGCACCATATTTTGAAGGATGGAAAACAGAGGTTGAGACCTTTTCTTCCTGATGTTAGTTTTCCGACAACTTTGCTACCTTGGAGTTCACTCTTAAATTGGTTTTTAAGTTGTTTCGGCTTGGTTCAACAAGTAAATTATGGTTCATTTTATTCTATCTGAGGAAAAAGTGCAACATCCTTGCACACTTAGCATAGCAGACCACTGACTTCAAGTTTGAAATTATTAACAGTGACACTTGTAAGTGAAACGTATACACCGGCATAATTATGTGCAGATTGTCATAAACAGTTCCCTGACATGGAGCTCCATCCATATGTTGTTTTGTGGTAAAACAACAGAAGAAAGTGACGGAATGATCATGCAGATAAGTAATCAAATACTGCATCCCTTTGATGTAGAACCATCTTTTTGGAAGCTCTGAAAACATGCTCCAAACACAGCAATAATGAGTACAACCATCATTTACTGGTGCAGGCAATCTTTTATGACCGGGTATTAATTGTGTCATTGAGCAAAGAGCTGAACCCTTCCATGAATGTGTGAGTTCCTTGATTTTGCTAAATAATTGTACAATCTTACACTTTATCTGTACCTCAGCAAAGCTTCATTTCTGATGTCACATCTCGAAATTTCCTCTGCATACACACGAAGGCCTTCATTTTTTCCTCAAGTCTGCTGTCTTGAATTTGCCAAAATATTGGAGTTGGGCTTTAACCAGTGTGTTGTGTTGGTGATTCATAACTTTGTAGCTTATCCTGTCTGTACTTCGATTTAAAGTGTGGAACCTGTATGGCTTTAAAGCATCAGTCTTCTTAGCAGTTGAATACTTGTGTACCAGTGTTTGATTTAAAATTGCTACTCCTCAATCTTCCTTTTGAAATGCATCACTTAACACCTCATAGGGATGTAAATATACTTTTTCATTGTTTAGATGTCAGTGTATGAGGAGGAATTTCTTCTCAGTTGGTAGTCAATCTGTAAATTATTAACCACAGAAGGCTGCAGAGATTGTCATGAAATACATTCAAGGCTGATTTTCAATCAGTCATGTCATCAAAGGTGCTGGGGATAAGGCAGAAAAGTGGGGGTTTAGGATTAATAGATCACCCATGATGTCATTCAACGTTGGAGTAGACTTGAGGGACAAAAAGCCTACTTCTGGTGCCATGTGTTAGGGTATAACCTGCTCCTTAATTCAGTTATGTGACAGATGGTTTGTCCTTGAATTGCATTTCACTGTCGATCCATTAAAACCTTCCCTTAACTGTCTATTCATTCTCAAGCTGCTCAGCCCACTTCATCACTGTCCACAGCCAATAAATAAGCAAATTGCACCTTACCCATTGTTTGGAAGAGGGTGAAACAAGGTGATTTCTGGTTTTTGTCTTTGCTCAAAGTTTCAGATCTTTGCTGTTGTTCTCGATACTCCTCATCGCAGGGAATAAAGTCTTCGTGTTTAGGATATCGTTTTATGTTTACAAACATTTGATTTCCTTGTAATTTTTTTTCTTAAATCTTCTCCTATACGGAAGGAGATCTCAATACACTTACCTTTTCGTCTGAGCCCTTTGACTCCATTATCCTTGGGAATGACAAGTGGCCAAATGTCTTCATACCACAGATCTGCAAAGGATCTTACCAAGATGGTGGAAGGAACGAATATCCAGATGCAAGAATTTAGACCTACTGGCTCTCTTGGCATCACTGTGCTTTTTCTTTTTGCAGACCAACAATTTGGGAGTAGGCAATAAGTTATTTATTGTTCATGTTACCAGAATAAGTTTCAGCTGAAGTTAGGGATTTGTGCTTCATCACATTTGGCGAACTAAGGACAACAAAACAGGCTATGAGTTGTTAATTGAACTTGCTCTTCTTCAGTATAGTGATCAGCAACACCGAACAGATGGATCTGCATCTATATTGAATTATGTTCTGTAATATTTGAATTTGTATTTATTAATTTCAGCTGCCAATGAAAGCAGAATGGTTTCCAGCTTTTGAGGACTTAGAAAGGCATTGACTTGTAATTTGTGAATGTCATTTTCTTTTTTGAAAGGCTCTTAAAGATTATGATTCCGACCACTTTGAACTGTTCACTATTGCTACATTGACTGGCCATGCTGTTCGAGCTGTTGGTTGCAACTACTCGGTGAGTACAATCCTGTGCACGATGTACGCCTATCTGAAGTATGTCCCAATACTGCAACAAATAATCTCGGCAATCTCAAACAATGTCATGTGAAGATGCTTTATAGAATACAACAGCCTCGATTGTCACGTGCACTCAAAAGAATGCAGTGAAAAATGGGCATTGTTGCCTCTCAGTGCCATCTTAGGTACTGGATGCCCAAGTACAGGTACTTCAAGTGTTGTCACAGAATTGAAATAGTAAAAAAAAAGATGAGCATGGGAATACAGCATTTAAAAGTCCAGAATGAGAATAAAAAGTTTCTTTGAAGTACTCGGGTTATCGTCCCTTACCAACATGAGTCTATGCCCACTGGGCTTCAGAACACGAGGTCACGTTGCCTCCATGCGCCCGCCTCCGTCCAGAACTCGTGGGGGTCCCTGCTCCAGGTCCCGGCCCGTGACTCGTCTCCTTCGTCTTGCCTCCATTCTGCAGGTAAGATAGGATAGTTTAAGAAGTTAAAAATTGGGAGGTGGGGAAGAACTGCTGTAAAGATGGGGGAAGAGAAAGGAAAAGGAACTGGCGAAGAGAGGAGCTCCAACTGGAGCAGCTTAGTCTCCCGCCATCTTGTCCAGAGATGCTGGCATTGCTCCCATATTATAAGGAGTAGTAAACTGTGCTGCTGCATAGTTTAACTGTTGATGTAAGCTCAACTGAGATTCCAGCCAACACAAACTGCTGATGTCACTTGTCTTGCCCTTGACTTTTTTTGACTTGTTATGAAGGAATGGAGTCCTCACAATTCATCCAAGTTGATTCAATGGTGAAGACATGCTGCATGATGGAATATGTTTGCTTTCTCATGAAATGTGAAGCTAAGGCCCTGGTACCACAGTTAGATTCTCCCATTGTTATTAGAAGAGCTGACAACTGATTCCATTATTGCTGGCCAATGGCACATAACAAAACTCTCTCGATGTTGCTTTTGAGTGCAAAGTAGCTGAGTTTCTAGAATTTGCAACAACAATTATAATTGACTGGAAAATATTTTAATATTTTGTGGATGGAACAATAAAAACTGCAAGCTTTTCCTGAAATGTGTAAGCAGCTTCAAAACCTGAACAATCACTGCAGTCGTTAGTCTCTATTTAATTTTACCCTGCTTCATGTTGCTTCAGTTTAACATTTTGTGTTATTTAGGCCATTGCTTTTTTGCTTTACCTTTTGTTATTTTCATTTTAGCATCACTTGTGTTTTGTCAGTGTTTATTGCCATCAGAAATTGGAGTCCAGTAGTGAATTGCGTGGAGCTGGAGGAACACAGCAGGTCAGGCAGCATCGGAGCAGGAGGAAACGTCAACTTTGCTGCTGCTCTGATGCTGCCTGACCTGCTGTGTTCCTCCAGCTCCACACCTTGTTGATTCTGACTCCAGCATCTGCAGTTCTTGCTATCTCCGAGTGAACTGCGTGCATCTTGGATGCATGCCCAAGCACACTATTGGTCTGTCTGTAGGTGAGAGGTTTTGCATCTCTCATGGCCCTAATTTCCACACTTGACTTCTGACCTGGTACAGGCAACCACGTATTCCCCCAGATCCATCTCCCAGCTTGTTACGGCTCTGTCCCATTTCCCAGTCTCATCCTCTTTAGTTAGCATAGACTTAACTTGAGCTTCTAGGCCTTTGGTTGCTGGCTTTACACCTGAATTCGAATCGAGGTCTTGCGTTCCATGTCTTGGGAGTCCAGCTGTGCTGCCTGACTTGTGCTTGGAGCTTGGTCAATCAAGGAGTGCTTTAGCATATTAAATTGTTTTGATCTTGTAAAACGAATTTTTCTTTTTAGTTTGCATATACCACCAGCACAATTTAGTGATTTCAAAGACGTTTGTTACTCTTTTCTACCTTGGAGGTTGCAGGTATAATGTAACATTTATGTCTTTAAGGGATATTTTATTGAACCTAACTCATGTTTAATATTGATTGCTTGGAAAATCAGTGGTCTGCTTTGTTTTTTCATTGAAATCATGATTTTCAGCATTGCATTCCTAGCTGCTTTAAGTGAGGACACCTGCATATTTTTTCCTTGAAACTTGACTAACTTCAAATGTTCCTATGTGTTCATAGGAAATTTTGATGTTTCAAACATTACGTTGCATTTAATGTGCTAAACTGAAACACATCAGTAGTTCACATCACACTCAGAGACCACTGCATTGTCTCTTGCTTTAATCTAAAAGTACTTGTTCTTTAATAGACTGTCAATAAAGTGCTTTTTTTTTGGTTTAGATCATAATGGATAATGGTCCTGCCCAACAGGTGAAGATTGCTCAACAGTTTCAATCAGGTAAAAGCTGTTTGGCCCTGCATATCTCCAGTACATCATACTTCAAGCAGTAAAGGCTATAAAGAACTTTCCTGCTAAATCATAACTGATAGTTTTACGCAGTTTCTGTGTGCTTTTGAGAGGTATGTAAGTCATAGAATCCAGCAGTGCGCAAAGAGACCGTTTAGTCATCAAGTCTGCACTGACTCTGAGAAGAGCATCCCACGTTATCCCTGTAAACCCACATTTCCCAAGGCTAATCCACCTGGCCTGCCCATCCCTGGACAGTATGGCCAATTCAGCATGTCCAGTCTATGTAAGGTTCACATGTTTGGACTGTGGGAGGAAACTGGTACACCTGACAGAAACTCTGCCACACATGGGGAGAACATACAAAGCCCACACAGACAGTTGCCCAAGGCTAGAATTGAAGCTGGGTCTTTAGCACGGTGAGGCAGCAGTGCTAACCACTGAGCTATCATACAGCATTTAGGTCATGTTGGTTAAAGGGATCTTTAATGGGCAATATTTGTTGCATATGCTGGGTGTTATTAGGTTTTTATCTTGGTCGATTGTATCTTCGATCGTTGGCTATTTACTGATGCAAAGATGGAAGTGCCAACTCCTAGCCCAGGATACATGCTAGGATTTAAGCCTGAAAGAAAGGTGCAGAGGTATTGAGGAGTCATTCTACAAAGGTGGTTTGAAATGCTTTTCAATGGACAGTGCAGCTTGGTGAATCCACCTAACCACCATGTCTTTGGACTGTGGGAGGAAACTGGAGCACCTGGAGGAAATCCACACAGTCAATAGGAGAATATACAGACTACACACAGTTGCCCAAATGTGCAATCAAACGTAGATTCCTGGCACTATGTGGCAGCAGTGCTCACCACTGTGCAGTACTAAATATGTTTAAGGGGAAGCGACATAACTGAATGAACACATGGGAGCACAGAGTTGATATGACACTGTCAGAAGTTGCAGAAGAACCAAAGTATGTGTTATGATTGAGCCATTTATGATTGGGTCTGTTGTGTTGTGTCGTGCATGCACTGTGAAATAATGCACCTTGTGCAAGGCATTGTTTCATAAGAACACAAAGTACTCAAATGAAGAAATGGGTGTGAAGTGAAGGCAGGGGTGCAGTACAAGGCTGTGTTGGTGCTTTGTTAACAGCTGACCAAACCTATTCAAAGTTTGCTTTTATCCTAGCTTCCATCTTCTTGATATTTTCAGTGTACCTTGGTACTGAAGTACAGGCTAAAATTCAGAGATCACAAATTTTGAACGAGGCCACACGTTCATTTCCCATCTACTCGCAATCTTGAAACTCATTTTCTACTGGATAAATTGTGTTTACGTGTGATTTGAGGTCAGTTTGGCTACTGTCACAGAACTTTGTTCCTGTGATGGGTGACTTAGTCACGGAACTAGGTTATTGTATTTTTAACTTGATTCACAAGTTTTCTCTCAACCAAATATAAATGAGTGTGTGTTAAATGCTGTATCTTTGCTCTTAGCTGGTGACGAAGTGGCTGATCCTTTTGAAATCTCCACCATTCGACGTGAAGATTACGATTTTCACAAGGGAAAGTCTGAGTATGAAGAGATTCTGCAGTGCAACAACCAGCCATCCAGTGCCACACCCCGTGGACATCAGTCACCTGCAGCTTTCCTCATCATGGCTTCTGGCCTAGATAAGGTAACATTGTTTGCAACCTGACCATTAATTTTGCTGGATGCCATTGAAATGATTTTTTTTTTAATCAACCTGTTCAGGCATGCCATGACGGACTTGTGGTGAACCTCCACCTTAGAACATAGAACAGAGAACAGTACAGCACAGTACAGGCCCTTCGTGCTTGGTAACATCCTCAGTGCAGCCTCTGATGAAGCGTCGGTGTGTTTTCCTGCCTGGTTTTTAAACTCTGGGGTCCGTTGCGATGGGTTGCCTCACTTCCGGGTTTCCTCCATAGTGGAATGTATATGGGGTCGAGTTCAATGTGTTTATTAATAGCATGCTTCGTGGAGTGCCATGCTTCCAGGAATTCTCGTGCTTGTCACTGCCTAGCCTGTCCCAGGATCTTGGTGTTGTCTCAGTCGAAGTCGTGGTTCTCCTTGTCCATGTGGATTGAGATAAGTGAGTATTGGTCGTGTCTTCTTGTAGCCAGTGGTGTTCATGTACTCTTGTTGTTAGTGTCCTTCCTGTTTGTCCGATTGTAGTGTTTCTCACAGTCTCTGCAGGGGATCTTGTAGATGACATTGTCCACGGCGGGGAGTGGGTCTTTAGTTTGGGTGAGCACTTGTCGTAGTGTTGATGTGGGTTTGTATGCCACTCTGATGCCCAGCGGTCGTAGGAGTCTTGTGGTGAGTTCTGACGTGTTCCTGATTGTAGGGTAGTGTGACGTGTGTCGGGGCGTGTACAGTCTCTCTGATGCTGTTCCTGTAGGCATCCCCGACCCAGTTCTTTGGATATCCATTATCCTTGAACACTTGGAAGAGGTATTCCTCCTCCTCTTGGCGTAGTTCCGTGTTGTTGCCCTTTTTAATAGTGTTCGCACGCAGCTTCATTTGTGTGTGCTGGGATAGTTACTATTGAAGTTCAATACCTGGTCTGCGTGTGTGGCTTTTTGGTGTACTTTCGTTTGCAGTTCCCCATTTGTCTTGTGCTCTACCATGACGTCCAGGAATGGGAGTTGTATTTGTTCTTCTCCTCCCTGGTGAATTTTATTCCGGTGAGGGTGTTGTTTATGAGTTTGTGTGTCTCTTCTAATTTGGTCCGTTTAATGATGACAAAGGTGTCGCCTACGTAGCATATACATAGTTTAGGTTGGATTTGCGGAAGGGCGGTCCTTTCCAGTCTTTGCATCACTGCTTCTGCTATGAGTCCGGAGATAGGCGATCCCATGGGTGTCCCGTTGATTTGCTTGTATGTTTGGCCGTTGAAGGTGAAGTGGGTGGTCAGGCATAGTTCCAGTAGTTTAAGCATGTTGTCCTTGGAGATGGTTTCACTGGGATCGTGTTCTTGTTCAAGTAGTGTTGTCATTGTTTCCCTTGCTAGTGGTATGTCTATTGATGTGAATAGGGCGGTGACATTGAACGATATCATGGTCTCTTCGTCCTCTATCTTTATGTCTTTGATGAAGTTGAGGAATTCTTGGGCTGAGTGGGTGGAGTGAGGTGATTTGTTGACTAGGTGCTTGAGTCTTGTTTGTAGTTCTCTGGCTAATCTGTACGATGGAGTGCCTGGTACGGAGACTATGGGTCTGAGGGGGACTTCCAGCTTGTGCACTTTAGGGAGGCCGTAGAATCGGACACATTGAACTTGACCCCATATACATTCCACTACGGAGGAAACCCGTAAGTGAGGCAATCCATCGCAACGGACCCCAGAGTTTAAAAACCAGGCAGGAAAACACACCGATGCTTCATCAGAGGCTGCACTGAGGATGTTACCAAGCACGGTAACGAAACATCTGCGGAACAACAAACCAGCTCGGCGAGCCAACCAACCTCAACTGAGTAAAGAACCTACCTCTGACGTCTCCCCTATATCTACCTCCACTCACTTCAAAACTATGCCCCCTCGTAATAGCTACCTCCACTCTAGGAAAAAGTCTCTGGCTATCCACTCTATCTATACCTCTGATCATTTTGTACACTTCTATCAAGTCACCTCTCATCCTTCGTCGTTCTAAAGAGAAAAGCCCGAGCTCTCGCAACCTTTCCTCGTAAGACCTTCCCTCTATTCCAGGCAACATCCTGGTAAATCTCCGTTGCACCTTTTCCAACGCTTCCACATGTTTCCTGTAATGGGGCGACCAGAACTGGACACAATACTCCAGTTGTGGCCGAAGCAGACTTTTGTATAACTTGAAGCATAACTTCACGGCTCTTGAACTCAATCCCTCTATTAATGAAAGCTAACACACCATACGCCTTCTTAACAACTCTATCCACCTGGGTGGCAGCTTTCAGGGAACTGTGGACATGAACCCCAAGATCCCTCTGCTCCTCCACACTGCCAAGAATCTTTCTGTTAACCCTGTGTTCTGCTTTCAAATTTGTCCTTCCAAAATGAATCACCTCACACCTTTCAGGGTTAAACTCCATCTGCCACTTCTGAGCCCAGCTCTGCATCCTATCAATGTCCATTTTGTAAACAAGAACAGCCCTCCGCACTATCCACAACTCAACCCACCTTTGTATCGTCCGCGAACTTACTAACCCACCTTTCCACTCCTTCATCCAAATCATTTACAAAAATCAGAAATAGAAGAGGACCCAGAACAGATCCTTGTGGTACACCACTCGTAACTGAGCACCATGTTGAATATTTTCCGTCCACGACCACCCTTTATCTTCTAAGGGTTAGGCAATTCTGAATCCAATCTGCCACATTTCCCCCTATCCCATGCCTCCTTACCTTCTGCATGAGTCTACCATTGGGAACCTTATCAAACGCCTTACTTAAATCCATGTGTACCACATCCACTGCTCTACCTTCATCCACGTGTTTGGTCACCTCTTCAAAGAATTCAATAAGGTTTGTGAGGCGTGATCTACCCTTCACAAATCCATGCTGACTATCGCCAATCAAACTGTGCCTTTCCAAGTGATCATAAATCCTGTCTCTCAGAGCCCTTTCCAGTAATTTCCCCACCACTGACGTCAGACTAACTGGTCTGTAATTTCCAGGGTTATCTCTCTTCCCTTTTTTGAAGAAGGGAATGACGTTTGCCTCTCTCCAGTCTTCTGGCACTATACCCGTGGACAGTGAGGACGAAAAGATCATCGCCAAAGGCCCTGCGATCTCTTCCCTCACTTCCCATAGAATCCTTGGATAAATCCCATCAGGCCCAGGGGACTTATCTATCTTCAAGTTCCTCAAAATTCCTAGTACATCTTTCTTACTAACATCGACCTCCTCCAGCCTACCAGCCTGTTTCACACTGTCCTCCTCTACAACTAGGTCCCCTCTCTGTTGTGAATACCGAAGAAAAGTATTCATTTAAGGACTTCCCCTATCTCTTTAGGCTCTATGCACAAATTCCCTTTACAATCCTTGATCAGCCCTACCCTTTCTCTGGTCATTCTCTTATTCCTCACGTATGTGTAAAAGGCCTTGGAGTTTTCTTGATCCTATCTGCCAAAGTTTTCTCGTGCCCCCTTACAGCTTTCCTAAGCCCTTTCTTCAGCTCCTTCCTGGCTAACTTGTATCCCTCTAGAGCCTTTTCTGTTCCTTGTTTCCTAAACCTTATATAAGCATCCTTCTTCCTCTTAACCAGTTGTTCGACCTCTCTTGAGAATCAAGGCTCCCTCACTGGACCGCATCTTCTCTGCCTGCTGGGGACAAACATATGGGGCACACGCAGTATGCATTCCTTAAACAATCTCCACATTTCAATAGCGCTCTTCCCTGACAGCATCTGTTCCCATTTTGTTACCTAGTTATTGCCTAATAGAATTGCAATTACCCTCCCCCAATTATAAACCTTACCCTGCTGTATGTACCTATCCTTTTCCATGACTATTGTAAAAGTAACAGAGTTATGATCGCTACCACCAAAATGCTGTCTTACCAACAGGTCTAACACTTAGCCCGGTTCATTGCCAAGCACCAAATCCAAAGTGGCCTCTCCTCATGTTGGTCTATCTACATATTGTGTCAGGAATCCTTCCTGAACGCACTGGAGAAAATCTGCTCCATCTAAACGAGTACAACTAAAATGTTTCCAATCAATATTTGGAAAGTTGAAGTCACCCATGACTACAACCCTGTGACTTCTGCATCTTTCCAGTATCTGCCTCCCAATCCGCTCCTCCACTTCTCTGCAACTATTAGGGGGTCTGTAAAATATCCCTGACAAAGTGACTGCACTTTTCTTGTTCCTGACCTCAACCCAAACTGACTCTGTAGACATATCATTCTCGAACTGCCTTTCAGTAGCTGCTATACTCACCCTGACTGGCAATGCCACTCCCCTGCCTCTTTTTCCACCCTCCCTATTTCTTTTAAAGCATCTAAATCCCAGAACTTCCAACAACCATTCCTGTCCCTGAGTTGACCTAGTTTCTGTAATGGCCACAACATCGTAGTTCCAAGTACTGACCCATGCTCTAAGTTCATCCGCCTTATTTCTGATAGTTGTGGCATTGAAGTATACACATCTCAAACCGTCTCTGTGTCCACAATTACGCTCCATCGACCGCATTTCTTTGTTAACAACCTCACTCTGTGTTGTGCCTGTTGAAAGGCTGAATATTTCTTCCGCTGAATTACAAATCCGGTTCCCCACCCCCTGCCAATCTAGTCTAAACCATCCCTGTATAGCTTGAGCAAACCTCCCTCCCAGCATATTTGTCCCGTTCCGGTTCAGGTGCAACCCGTCCTTGCTGTACAGGTCCCACCTTTCCAGAATATGCTCCAATTATCCACGTAATGGAAGCCCTCCCTCCTACACCAGCCCTGTAGCCATGTGTTTAGCTGCACTCTCTCCCTATTTCTTACCTCGTTATTGCATGGCACTGGTGGTAATCCAGAGATAACTACCCTGTTTGTCCTGGATGTCAGCTTCCAATCTAACTCCCTGTACTCGTTTTTCACATTCTCAGTGCTTTTTCTACCTATGTCATTGGTACCAATGTGTACCATGACTGCTGGTTGCTCACCCTCCCCCTTCAGGATCTTGAAGACACGATCCGAGACATCATGGACCCTGGCACCCGGAAGGCAACATACCATCCGTTCATCTCGTTTGCGTCCACAGAACTGCGTGTCTGTGCCTGTTACTTTTGAATCCCCCACTACAATTGCTGTCCTATTTTCCCCCCCTTCCCTTCTGTGCCACAGGGCCAGGCTCAGTGCCAGAGACCTGTCCGCTATGGCCTTCCCCTGGTAGGTCGTTTCTCCCCCCTTCCCCCCACCCCCCACCCAAAAGTATCCAAAACGGTATACTTATTATTGAGGGGAACGGCCACAGGGGATCCCTGCACTGTCTGCCGATTCCCTTTCCCCTTCCTGACAGTCACCCAGCTGCCTTTTTCCTGTACCTTAGGAGTGACCACCTCCTTATAACTCCTTTCTATCGTGCCCTCAGCCTCCCAAATGATCCAGAGTTCATCCAGCTCCAGTTCCCTAGTTGGGTGCACTTCTCGCAAATGAAGTCAGAGGGGACACCAACAGTGACCCTTGCCTCCCACATCCTGCAAGAGGAGCATGCAACTGCCCTAGCTTCCATTCCCTCTACTCCAGATTTCCAGAAGAATTTTTAAAAAAGCCTTACTTTATCGACCCTCCACACAGTTTTTTTTTTTTGGCTAGGGGAGGAGGACAGGTGGGAGACACCACACGTGTAGTGTTTCGGGTTTAGCTAATGGCCGAATATATAAGTTCCTTCCTGGCTCGCGTTCTCTCCACACACCCGCTGCTCCAAACAAGAAGGCCGCTGCTGCACGAGCTAAGTCTTTATACAGGGAAAAAAAAACCTCACCTTCCTGTCGGCACCCTGGCTCGCACTCCCGCTTCTCCGAACAAGGACCTTATGGCCCAGAGGTGGGGATGGTACTGCTCTGCTACGAGAAGGCCCCTAGTTTTAAATTGTATGCTTCACAAAGAAGTGACCAGTTAAAATATCACTTTGTCTTTAGTCCAAATTTATTTTCTGACCCCAGTCCCATAAAAGACTACAGTCAGCCAATGGGAGATTTTGAAGTTGGTCATGGTGCCTGCAATTCAGTCTGCAGCATCCAGCCCAACACTCTGACTCTTAATCCAAATCTTGCTTCCTTATTGACTGTATTGGACATGAGTAAAGCATCAGAATTGCCTTGTTAGACCGAACTTTGATTATCTTTGTCATTTGGTTATTCTGTCACAGCAAGATATGACACTTCATTTGGAAGGGGAGACAGCTAGATCAGCAGAGCAGAACCAAATTAATGAAAAAAAAAAGCAAAATTACATGATATAATGGCTTCTTCCTTGATATGATATTGTTTCATGGTGTGGTTTTGTTTGCAGTTTCATTGCACCAGGTTGCAAACCATTTTATTTAAATCAATTCTTCTCTCTTTCAGCATGGAATGGATTCTGAGAAACCCTTGCGCTATTCTCACATTGATATAGCCGGATCTTCTGGCCCATTTCCTGGAATACCCTCTGGGTCACCAGTGGTTGCCCTCGCCGCAAAATATGTGCTAAACCGTATTTGAATATCTGATGGACAGCAGAAAGGCCCATGGAGATCAGAAATCTTCTGTTATCAAGGAGACCATGCAGTGTCATAGGATATCCAATAGTGGGCTACATAGCTTCACCTGAATTGTGAACTAAATATGAATTTTTGGTATAGATCAGTCAGTGCAGCTGTCCTAGAACTGAATGCAGAAACATTAACCAGTACTCCAAACTTTCTCAGGTAGGCAAATGAAGAAGTTATGGTCTTTCAGTACAAAATTCTTGAGTTCTTTTTGTTTGATTTGTGCAATCCAAAGCTAAACTGCCAAAACCCGAAATTTCAAGTTGAGCTCGGGTGGAAAAAATTACTTTGGGTCACACTATCAGGAGAAGGAAATGAGAGTTTGCAACAGAAATAAACAGGAAATGTAATGTTCAGAAGTAAATAAAGATTGAGATGCCCTTGTTTGCCAGTGTCTTATTGGAGATGCTTAAGCTAGTGAGTACACATGAAACACCAGTTGACTTGGCATCTGTGGTTGACCTTGGACTGCAAAAGGTGATTGCAGTTGCACTTGTCACTAAGTGTCATGATTTGTATTCTGCCTATCATTTGAATGTATGTTTGAGACCAACGTAAATGTCAGAAAGTAATTTTTTCCAGAATGCTGTTCAGTCATGAATGAACAATGTGCGTTGAAACTGGACAGTTGTTTATTGGATATTGGAGGGGTGATGGCCTTGTGGTATTATCATTGAACTGTTGATCGAGAGACCCAGCAAATGTTCTGGAACCTGGGTTCAAATGCTGCCAAGGCAGATCATGGAATTTTAACCCAATAAAAATGTGGATTTCAGAATCTAATGATGACCATGAAACAACCGTTGATTGTCAGAAAAACCCATCTGGTTCACTCATGTCCTTGAGAGATGGAAACTGCTATCCTTACATGGTCTTGCCTAGATGTAACTCCTGACCCACAGCAATGTAGTTGACTCTTAACTGCCCTCTGAGCAATTCAGGGTGGGCCATAATTGCTGGCTTAGCCAACAGTACCCTCCTCTTGTCAAAGAAGAAAAAAAATGATTGAGGCATATCCGGTCATCGAAAAGAAAATTCATTTTTCTTTCAAGCACTTGAAGTCTCATAATTCTCACATTCTCTACATTGTAGCATTTTCAGTTTTGGAGCATCACTTGTTTGGGCCATTACTTATTGAATACAGCTACGCGCAGGGTTGCAACATAGAATTGGAGCAATAGCACATGGAAAACAAAATATTTTGAAGTTTTGGGTTTTCACTGTCTAGCAACGAATTCTGTTGAACTTAGAATAAAGTAAAAGATCCCATGACATCATAAACGCATAGCGGTTTTTCCGAATTGGTCTTTGAGGAAAACTTAGCCCACCACTTTGTTGCAGTGGTGGGTGGGATTGAGAGCACACTGTTTTCAAGAGTGGTGCTGATTTCTCGAAATCACAAGGCTGTGTCTAAAAGCGTGCTATCTGCTTAAGACCAGTAGTATGGGATTGAAGCAAATCTCCAGTTGACTTTATCTTCTGATCGTGTTTTATGACCAAGTCACTGCAGAATCTAGCAGGGCTCCAGGTACTTGTGCTTTGTAGCGGGTTTTACGCTTGCATTGTTAATCTTGCCTCGGATCTAACACTGGTGTAAACGTACGGCTGATTGATTAATTTAAGAGTAAACTGGTCTGCACTGGGAGGAGCTGTAACTATATCACTTTGAATTGTCAACTCAAACCAGCCAAACAAGTCGTGGAAAGTTTGAATTGAGGTGCTGTAGTACTGGCTGTAGAAAAAAGGTAAGACAACACAATAAAGTTTTTTTTTCCATTCTTCACTCCTTTGGGAAAAAAAAGGAATTCTTTCCCATTTGTGACCACGTGTGTATCACATGGAAGGGTTGTTCCCACAAAGCAGGGACCTGTGACAGTTTTATACCAAGAACTGCAGCAAGGCCCTAAACCTGCATCATTAATCTGTGTCTTCTCATGTACATTGGCCAGAAAATCTTTTTTTTGATAAACTTGCTGCACACTCCAGTCTTGGTTACTTAATGCTTTAAGACCAAGTCTTATCAGTAAACAAAATGTTTGCATTGGATACTTGTTACCTATTGTTTGTGTGACCTGATGCACAAAGTACTCTGATAATTGCTTCTCCAGGATATCATGGTTTTGTTCTGAGATCATCATGTAAAACAATAGCTAATTGTCTCCTTTCTGACTGTGGATTTTCATCACTGCAAATTCCAAAAGAAGTATGTCAATAAAAAACAAAAACAGAAATTGCTGGAAAAGCTCAGCAGGTCTGGCAGCATCTGTAAAGAAAAAAAATCAGAGTTCTGAGGAAAGGGTCATTGGACCCGAAACGTTAACTCTGACTTTTTACTTCACAGATGCTGCCAGACCTGCTGAGCTTTTCCAGCAACTTTGTTTTTGTTCCTGATTTACAGCATCCGCAGTTCTTTCAGTTTTTATTCCATCAATGAGATATTGACTTCAAACAGAATTTGCACAAATTTAGTTTGTAAGTGCACACATAGAGTTATGAGTGAAGTAATCTTTGAATCCTGCTAAGCAAACTGCAGAGTAGAGAAAAGTCATCTCAGAAATCAGGTGAGTGTGCAGCAAGCCATCGTGCAGAGATTGTTATCCTATCCTGAAATATACATGGGTTAAAGAGAAGCATTCTTGAAACGACTTGTGGATAATGACTTCAAAAATGTCATTCACATAGACCTGTTGAGAGATGTCATTGTACATTGCTAGAGCAGGTGGGACTTGATCCTGGCCTCCTGGGTTACTACCATTGTGGCCCCAGAGCCCAGAAGGTCTGTGACTAATCCTGAAAGGTGAGGAATATGCCTGCCTTTACGACTGTAAAATGAGACTGCCTTGCATAGAGACTTGCCTAGAAAGAGAAACGAGGAGCAGGAGGCACAAACAGTGGAGGACGAACAGAGGGGGAGAAACAAAAGGGCACACAAACATAGGAGCACAAGCCGAATAAAGTTTTCAAGAAGATTTGTCGCTCTGGTTGTGGATGAGGTTGTAGACATGCTCGCCGAGCTGGTGGGTTTGGTCGCAAACATTTAGTCACACTGCTCGGTAACATCGTCATGCGCCTCTGGTGAAGGGTCCCTGTTCTGTCCCTCTTTTTCTTTCATATGCCTCAGTTTGTTCGGGTGTTTGATACCACTTCTGGTTCTGTTTGTCAATAGTTTGTACACAGGGTCTAATTCAATGTGTTTGTTCCGGTCGGAATACCAGGCCTCCAGAAATTCCCTGGCAGACCTCTGTTTGGCTTGTGTGACGATGGATGTGTTGTCCCGGTGGAATTCATGTCCCGCATTGTCCATGAGACATGTGAGAATTGGTCTTGTTGCTTGGTGACTTGTTTGGTGTTCATGTATCCATATTGTCAATTTTCTTTCAGTTTAGCCAATGTAGTGTTTCTCTCAGTCCCTGCATGGTGTTTTGTATATTATGCTGGTTTTGGGTATTGGATCCTTTATGTTCATTAGTAGCTGTCATACAGATAGCTGTGAGAGATAACAAGGTGTAGAGCTGGATGAACACAGCAGGCCAAGCAGCATCAGAGGAGCAGGAAAGCTAGACCCTTCTTCAGAAATGGGGGGAGGGGAAGGGGTCTCTGAAATAAATAGGGAGAGAGGGGGAGGTGGATGGAAGATGGATAACGGAGAAGAAATGTGGAGAGGAGACAGACAGGTCAAAGAGACGGGGATGGAACCACTAAAGGTGAGTGTAGGTGGGGAGTTAGGGAGGAGACAGGTAAAGGGGGTGGGATGGGGTTGGTAGGTAGGAGATGGGGGTGGGGCTTAAGATGGGAGGAGGGGATAGGTGGGAGGAAGGACAGATCGGGGAGCTGGGCTGGTTTTGGGATGCGGTAGTGGGAGGGGAGATTTTGAAGCTTGTGAAGTCCACATTGATACCATTGGGCTGCAGGGTTCCCAAGCGGAATATGAGTTGCTGTTCCTGCAACCTTCGGGTAGCATCGTTGTGGCACTGCAGGAGGCCCAGGATGGACATGTCGTCTGAGGAATGGGAGGGGGTGTTGAAATGGTTCACGACTGGGAGGTGCAGTTGTTTAGTGCGAACCGAGCGTCTGTGTTCTGCAAAGCGGTCCCCAAGCCTCTGCTTGGTTTCCCCGATGTCGAGGAGGCCACAACGGGAACAGCGGATGCAGTATACCACATTAGCAGATGTGCAGGTGAACGTCTGCTTGATGTGGAAAGTCTTTTTGGGGCCTGGGATGGGGGTGAGGGGGAAGGTGTAGGGGCAGGTGTAACACTTCCTGCGGTTGCAGGCATGATGCGTTGGATCCGGAGTGGTGGGGTGGTACTTGACGATGAGGGGGATTCTGTTTTGCTTGTCATTGCAGGGAGGGAGTGTGAGGGATGAGTTGCGGGAGACATGGTCGAGGGCGTTCTCGACCACTGAGGCGGGGGGAGGTTGCGGTCCTTGAAAAATAAGGACATCTGAGATGTACAGGAGTGGAATGCCTCATCCTGGGAGCAGATGCGGCGGAGGCGAAGGAATTGGGAATAGGGGACGGCCTTTTTCCAGGAAGGTGGGTGGGAGGAGGTGTATTCTAGGTAGCTGTGGGAGTCGGTGGGTTTGAAATGGAGATCGGTTTCTAGGTGGTTGCCAGAGATGGAGACAGAGAGGTCCAGGAAGGAGAGAGAGCTATTAGAGATGGTCCAGGTGAACTTAAGGTTGGAGTGGAAGGTGTTGGTGAAGTGGATGAACTGTTCGAGCTCCTCGTGGGACGTCCGGATCCAATGCATCATCCTCCAACATTTCCACCATCTGCAATCCGACCCCACCACCAAAGACATTTTTCCCTCCCCACCCTTATCTGCTTTCCGGAGGGACCGCTCTCTCTGTGACTCCCTTGTCCACTGCACACTCCCCTCCAGCCCCAACACACCCGACACTTTTCCCTGCAACCACAGGAAGTGCTACAGCTGCCCCTACACCTCCCCCCTCATCCGCATCCCAGGCCCCAAGAAGACTTTCCACATCAAGCAGACGTTCACCTGCACATCTGCTAATGTGGTATACTGCATCCTCTGTTACTGTTGTGGCCTCCTCTACATCGGGGAAACCAAGCGGAGGCTTGGGGACCGCTTTGCAGAACACCTACGCTCGGTTCGCACTAAACAACTGCACCTCCCAGTCGCGAACCATTTCAACTCCCCCTCCCATTCCTCAGATGACATGTCCATCCTGGGCCTCCTGCAGTGCCACAACGATGCCACCCGAAGGTTGCAGGAACAGCACCTCATGTTCCGCTTGGGAACCCTGCAGCCCAATGGTATCAATATGGACTTCACAAGCTTCAAAATCTCCCCTCCCCCTACTGCATCCCAAAACCAGCCCAGCTCGTCCCCGCCTCCCTAACCTGTCCTTCCTCCC